TTTAAAAATCGTTGATATTTATTCTACATCTTTTCTTCATAACTCTTAGTTCATGTCGAAAGTTGTTAATAGAGTTTTCCCAGCTTTTTTTTTTGCCTCGAAATAAAGGCAAATCCTCATCTCATTTTCAGAATGGCTCGAAAGTACAAATTCATATCGCCTTTTCTGAAATTAATCCATAGCAAATCCTCATACAATCTTTCAGAATAGGTTGAAAGTAAAATATTTATGTTTTTTGGTCTATCCAAATACACAAACACACGAACTCACACATGCACGCACGCACACACACACACACACATATATATATATATATATATAGAGAGAGAGAGAGAGAGAGAGAAAGAGAGAGAGGCACTCATTTATCTTGCCAGATAAATATAGCAAGATAAATGTGCAGAGTCCCATCAAGAGCAAAACGGATTTCCATGAATACAAATGAAACTGAATTCTTTGTGCTTTTTTGTAAATATTTTTATGGCATTTGTTGAAACTGTCATAAAAATATTTACAAAAAGTATTTATTTTGATGAGCTTTTTCTTTTGACAACTCGACTTCATGAATCTAAGCGGACTACTAGATTGGCTGTTAGGTCTCATCATTTTGCTGTTGAAATTGCTAGATGTAACTTTAAGTTCTATTCTAGAATTCTATTCTTTCACATTTCTTGCTTCCAGCTTCTTGCTTTTCTGTCAATCTCCAAAAGTTTTTATACAACCGCATCAACCGTCATTTTCTGTTTCTTTGAATTCTTTTATTTCACTATCCTTTCTCTTCAATACGTTGCACAGTAAATCTTTGCGTCTTAGCGACTTTATCGCCTTGCTTAGGTTGAAATGATTGAAAAGACAATGCATATTAATAGGATTTTGCTTTACCGTTTAGAATTCCCAAGAGAAAATTAACATAATTTATTTAATATGTGTTAGAAAGTCCGATAATGGAATGCTTATACGAAAATAGAAATTAATCAACTCGACTCTGAATGCAAAGATTAAGTTCTTTTTCAACTCTCAAGAAATAAACTAATGAAGCTAATCATAATTTTTATTAATTACGACATGAAAAATTTATATATGAAATTTCATATATTAACCTTCTTCCTGAATTAATGTTCGTAATCAAAATTTAAGAACGGCTAATTGACACCCATTGCCATTTATTAGGCTAAAGAGAATGTTCTGTCGTTTTTTAATAGAATATACGGGGGACGGTTAACACTTCTCGGCTCGAATTACTAAACAAAGAACGGAATTTTTTTGAAAGCATTTTTTGGCCAGACCGAGAATTTTACCGTAACCACACATAACTAATTTATATTTAAAGATTAATTGCAAATTCAATCATTATTTAAATTTATTCAAATTAATAATCAAATTCAAGGTGATAGAATAAACAAGAAAATTGCAAACACCCGAATATGTGTTTCAAGTTACTTAACACGGTTAAGACACAGAGGCACGGTGGAGTAATGGATAATGGCTTGGACTGAGGAATCGGAGAGCCAAGTTCGAATTCCAGTCGAATGCCCATGCGAAAGGCATGAATCCTCTTCTCCCTCCAGCTATGGGTAAATATCAGGACAGATCGGCTTCTATAGCCTTGGATGGCGACTGGTCTATCGCAGAAAGAAATAGCAACCTACTGCTGGAAAAATCTGCCTCGTCAGTCATGTATTGAAAGATACATGATCGCCTAAGCGTGCATCACGCATGGCACATAATTTTAAGCTAGCTGAATTACAGTAAATTCTCGCTTATACTGATCAATACGTGTATAGTTTGTAAAACAAGGGGAGGTATCAACTTTAATGAGAGGTTGTTGAACAATGTTTTGAATATACACGACACTGTTCCATGTCTCCCTCACAAATATTTATAGGCGAACGAGATGTGTAACTTATGGCACCCCATTCCATAATGCTGGGCTTATGTATAGGACTCAATGATATTCTACAGGATGTCGACCTCTATGTCTACAACACAAACGACAATCATTCGTATGAAGGCAGAACCTACACACGCCATTGAACATTAAAAATCATTCAGTCACCCAAGTGACTCTCTCTAAAGATATGCACGACGCTGTTGTGTTGGAAGTGGGAGCCGATTTAGATGCACTCAAGACTGCAATCTTGCTGCAAATAAAAGATTCCGATCAGTTCCTCTTCCTGAGTTTAAAATTGCTCTGATCTGTGATTTCAACGCCGTGTGGTCTGCAACGACTGTTTTTACAATGAGTTGATCTTGTCTGTAGTACTTGCCTATCCAGATCCCGCTCTATCGGAGTACCACCAATGCGTCACGTTCAACATGCACATCTTTGAACTGTATATCTAAACTTTCGACGTTAACAGTCTGACCAATTTAAAGGGGCTTTAATTGAATAAAATGAGCATCTGTGTTTCTCCATGGCATTGTATCTGCTTCCATTGTTTTTTTAACCTTATTGCAACATGCACCACTATTAAAAGGTACCGCATTAAGTTTCAAAGTAATAAAAACAAACAAACAATGCAAGAAGGTGCAATGCCACGGAGAGAGATTCATAGACGGTGCATCTGTCCTGACACTCTTGCCCTTGGTATGCCCTGTGAGGATCAAATTCTACAAGCCGTCTTTCCTCACTATGTGTCCAAGAAATTTCAGCTGACTCTTTCTGGTTCTGTGTATAAGTGCAATTTTTGTTTCCATTTTCCTTAAGACTTCCTCATTGCTTACTCGCTCCGTCCATGGAATTCTCAGCATCCTTCTGTAGAACCACATTTCTCTTTCTTCCAGTTATCTCTTCATCTATGAGAAGATTTTCTAGCATTCACTGTCATACAAGGGAGTTGATTTTATATAACATTTCAGCCGTTCTTTTCTTTGTTTCTAACGAAAATTTCCCGTTTCTTAGTCCTTTGCTTAGTTTCTAGACAGCATCTTTCGCTAATCCGTTGCGAGTTCGGATTGCGGTGTCACATTTTCCAGACACTGTTAAAACGCTTCCCAAATATTTAAATTTCTGTACTTGTTTGATTTTGACATTTCCAATTCGAAGTTGGATCTTAGGCTTTTCATCTTGCTGACAACCATATATTCTGTCTTCTTACATTTGATGGTTAGTCCTTTCTTCTCTCTTTCCTTTACTACTTTGTTCAGGAGCTCCTGTAGTTTTCTTTTTGTTTCTGTTATCAACACAGAGTCCGCCGAATATCTTATAATGTTAAGATTATGCCGGCTAATAATAACTCCTGGTAGGGTCTCCATCTTCCGTAGTATAGCATCGCTGTAGAGGATGGACTTGTCTTACGCTATTTCTATTTTGTGTAACTACTCAATTAATTTTCTATTTTTTAGTTTCTATAGTTTTCCCTCTATATAGTTAATGAGTTATTCTAACATCCTTTCCGAATATGTCTATAATTTTCCTAACAGTACAAATAGATCTTTGTGTCGTACGTTGTCAAATGCTTTTACGTAGTTTATAACACATAAGTAATGAATTTACCCGTATCCTTAGCAACTAATATTAAGACTGTATGTGATTATAAAACTCAGTAAATTTCAAAATAAGTTATTCCAAAATTCGCTTAAAAATGAAACAGCAGTATGGATTTTGATTTAATTCTATAATTAAATTTGAAGTTTTTAGTTTTTGTTTTTGAAACATGGTAATTCCTGTGTAGCGATGGGACCATATTTTTAAATTAGTAAATTTATAATATAACACGTAAGTGTAAATCCTTTTGCATTCGCATTCTAGATCCAGTTTAATTCTTTTGCTATATACTCTATCAGAATTAGGTTATATTACTGGTATCATATTTAGAGAGTGTTGCAAGCAGTTTGCACAATATTCTGCTAAAAACCGGATCCAGAGCTTTATGCTGAGATTACCTGCACACACGAACTCGACCGTCTATCCGAAAAAACTGTAAACAAAGCGTCGACTAATCAGGCGACACAACACCAGTCTTCCACGATTCAATGATGTTATTCTCCGTCTAAGCTGAAGTGCAATAATTGATACCATTGTGCCAATAATAGAAACCTAATTGATCAACAGCCAAGAAAAGCTTCGGAATTCAGTATGATTTGTACAGTGCAGTGGTCATCATCGGATAAATGAAATGTAATCTGATGCAATGGCTACATTTTTGTCTTATTCTTGCATCGCTTGTGAGCATCTACGGTTTTCACGTGCTGGTGCTGCTGTCTGTCTGGAGTTCACCTGTTCCTAGTAAACGCATTCTACTATTGGTCGAGAAAATCTCCGAGCCATTGCTATCTCAGAGACAGAGTATCCATGATTACTGAGCTTAATCATTGCTCAAATGGTTTTAACTCCTGTTTACGTCTCGTGGTTACTACTGCTACACTGCCACAGCTACACAACGTTTCTTACTTTTTACATCATATATACGTCCCCTGGTTGATTGGGGAAGACGAAAGCCTCCAATGTACTGCAATATCAATTTTTGAGAACATCAATAACCACAATAAGGACACTAATACATTTACGCACAATCCGCATTATAGATACTGTGACACAAGCATAGTCACAGATTTCAACACACACACACATACATACACGCAAACATATATACAGAGAAAGATAGAGAGAGATAAGTGGAGTGGGCAGAGAAATGTGTTGAGAGATTGAAAAGCCGAATGAAGTGAAGAACCTCATAGAGAAAGCGGCGGTTGTTGAACGGAATTTGCCAAGAAGCGAAATGCAGAAGAAATTTTGTCGCAATTATGAAGTTCATCGATCTTTGAACCTTTTGGGATGAAAGAGGAAAATGAAATTTGCCTTCGCCTTCGAGGATCACATGAAGCAGAGTATGTGTGTGGGGGGGAAGTGGGAAGAGAGAAAGGGAGACTGAAAGTCATGGCCAATGAACAATACGCGCACGCAGCTTTCGGACAAATATTAAGAAAGATGATATAAGTTAGAGCTGTGATTGTTTACAGACTCATGTGAATTGCATCGTCAGTTGAGAGGATTTTGTGGCTTATAAGAAGGCAAGTGAGGGAATGGGGGAGGGAGAAAGAAAGAGAGAACATAAGAAAGAAAAGACAGGAAAGAAAGAGAGTAACATATAAAATGTATAAATAAAGAAAGAAAGAGAAACAAAGACCGAGTGAAAGAGAATGAGAAATAAAGAAACCTAGAAAAGAAAGAAAATAGGTAAATAAATGAATAAAGAAAGAAAGAAAGAAAGGGAAATAAGAAGTGACGAGGGTTAAAAAAAAAGCTAAAAAAGATAAAGGAAAAAGAGATTAAGCCAAAATGACAGAGAAATAAATAAGTAAAACTATACATAGAGAGAGAGAGGGGGAGAGAAAGGGAATAAGAATGAATGCGTGAAAAATAAATAGAAAGAAAAAGAAAGAAAATAAGAAAAATAGAGCGAAAGAGAGCAAGAAAGTGCGATGGAGAAAGAAAGAAAGAAAGAAAGAAAGAAAGAAAGAAAGAAAGAAAGCAAGAAAGAAAGATCAAGAAACGGATGAAAGAAAAGAGAGCGAAAGACACGAGGGACTAGAATAAAACAAGGGAGAATAAAGAAAGAAAGAAAAAGAAACAATGACAGAGAATGAGAAGAAGAAAAAAAGAAAGAAAGAAAGAAAGAAATGGTAAAGGAGAAAAAAGGGAGAAAGAGAACAGAAATGAGGGGGGGAATAAAGAGAAAGAAAGATTATATGTTTATTAAAGAGAAGCAAAAAGAAAGATGGACTACATTTGTTCGTTAGTCTTTTTTTTTCTTAAGGCTGCCTCTTTGCAAATGACTTGCTTTTACCCCCCGCCCCACTTTTGTCATACAGACTCACACACACCTCTCGTACACTCATACACACACGTACATGCTCATACACACATCTATCACACTTACTCATACACACTCTCTGTTACATACACACACGCACGCACACTTTTTTCTTTCTGTCTTTTGTAGACACATACTCGTATACAAATCGGCATCTATCACATTCATTCACACGTATCAATGATGCACATCCCTCTAACGCCATCGCTTTTGTACGCACACACATACAAACATATCTCTATCATACCTAACCATAACATACAAACACATCTCTATGGCAAACATACACTTGCAGACTCATACACAGACACATACGCTCACACACACACATTTCTACATTCATGCAGGCGAGAGAGCAGAGAAAACTTCCCAACCCATCCAACTTTTCCCCCAAATCGTAATTCTGGCGTTTAGACATTAAAATACTTATTTTGCAAAATGGCTATGGTTGATCATTTTTCATCGTCCCTTCGTACATAGTCACTGATTGAAGCATTTACATATATAGATATACGCACAAATACACGTATTTACGTACACACATTTACATGCGCGTGAATCAACAGGGGATCCACAATCTAGTGGGGGGGGGTAAAACGCTTGTTTGGATACTTCAATGTGGTATAATAGCTAACAAGATTATCTCGAAAATCAGTTTACAACTGGGGAGCCAGTTCGATCCTTACTGGCCACTTTGCGCCACATCTGAGCGCCATTGAGTAAATCAGGAAAAGCATTTGCCTCATACAGAAAATTTGAGCATAGACATCTTGTCAATGCACTTGATTCAGTAGCGAATATCAGTAGCATAAATATACAGTGAAAATTTCAGATCAAAATTAGGTTAGTAAGAAGATGTCATGATATAGACTAATTGATTTATCCTTGTAAATATTAGAAAATAAAAGTAGAGTTCTTCATTTTAGCGTTACATTTGATTTAAATATAAGATGTTATACGGATAAGGAGGTTTATAAGAATCATCCCTTGTTTTATAGAAACATTGGTTGGAAAAATTCGCACAATACTGTCTTATTTTTATCCTTTTTTTTTTTAGATTATTCTGTAGGATGTTGTGTCGAAGATAAACTTAGCAAACACCAAATCAAATAATCCAGTTTGGAGGGAAAATGAAGAATAAAAGAAACAATTTTGTCAGGATTGGTAGAGAGAAAGAGAGGAAAAGAGAAGAGGTAGGAAAACTGAAAGAGAGAGAGAGAGAGAGAAGAGAGAGAGAGAGAGAGAGAGAGAGAGAGAGAGAGAGAAGGAAAAAATAATGTACAAAAGTTTTGATAGGGAGGAGGATTAAAACCGTAACAGAGAAATAATTTCAAACTAGCAAGTGTGTGTCCCGTAGGCAACAAATTTGGATTAAACGTGTGTGTGTGTGTGTGAGAGAGAGAGAGAGAGAGAGAGAGAGAGAGAGAGAGTGTGTGTGTGTGTGAGTGTGTGTGCTAGAATGGCCAAGAATTGTGAAGTTGTCCACAATATCCTTTTACGCGCTTCATGAACTTGAGTCCGAACTTTTCTATTGCATCGATGTCCACTGCCCAACGTCGAATCTTCGTGCAATTGAGCGTCAGTGGAATGAGTTGGAACATCATATTCGAGGTCACAATCTTTACTTTGCAGACAGTGCCGAACTATTTATATGGTTCGATGAACTCAGAATGGACACCCTAGGATAAAACTCCTCTGGGCAATCCTTTTTCGGAACGTGGTCACTCTCTACTATCCACTTAATAAGGTGAGAATAAAGGCGACTCGCAAGTAGAGTTATTAGAAACAGAATTAATATCAACCAGCACGCTTAGCTGCTGACTTAGTAAAACTGACTTTTAATGCAAACAAACATATATATTGATCCACGGAAATGCTTCACATAGAAATTTTTTTCTTACTTTGTCTTAACGTAGAAAAAGTGTTATTCCTTTTTATAGTATAAATTATTTTAGACAACTTAGCTACAATTTCTTTCTAAATTTCCAAATAAATTTGATGTTTGATGTTGGTTCCACCATCAAAAATTTCGTTGGAGTATACGGCTTAGATAAGTAGTTCCCGGTTCTACAGAAACATCTACATGTCTATCCGCACATAGGGTTACATACAGCATAAAACATAAAAGTCATAGATGTATATTGTCTCTTGCCTTATACTATCTATCTATCTATCTATCTATCTATCTATCTATCTATCTATCTATCTATCTATTATGTTTCAAAGTCTGCATATATACAGTTACACGAAAAGAAATACTGAATAAAAGAAAAAACTTATTTTTATCCTTTTTTTTGAGATTATTCTGTAGGATGTTGTGCTGAAGATAAAATTAACAAACACCAAATCAAATAATCCAGTTTGGAGGGAAAATGAAGAATAAAAAAAAACCGTATGAGTTCAAGTTTGTTGCAATATGAATGTTGGCTCTGTTAACCAGAAACTTAATAGAATTAAAATATATAAATATCTAACCAGACATAAAATCGAAACGTTTCAATGTCTGCGTAAAAGAAGCATTAGAATTGATTGCCAGTCAATTAATGTAGAAAAAGGGAAAAAAAAATAAATAAAATGTCAATCGATTTAGACGTAAAGGTGATGGCACACGTAATAAACCTAACAAATCGAACCTTTAATGGGGAAAGTTTAACATCGATCAAGATTTTATTTATTCATTTCTTACTGGGTTCAATTGTCGGCTGTTGGCAGACAAAATTTTGAATAAATAGCGCGCCATTGCAGTTTTTGTGACTTTTGCGATTATTGACTTTTTTGAGAACGTTGTGAAGGGAACACGACACTTTCTGAAATACACAAATTGTTTGATGGCTTTTTTCTTCGAAATTTCATGTTCTTATCATTTTAAGAGGTCAAGTGATTCCTGTTATCGGCAGACATAAGCACCACGAAAATTCGGTAGAGTAGAAGAAAAATAAAAAAGGTGAAAAATAAGAAAATAAAGAGTAAACAATAATATAATTTCATGCATATATATATATATATATATATATATATATATATATATATATATATATATATATATATATATATATACAGGTATATGTCTTTCACGCGATGTATATATATATATATATAGATAGATAGATGTAAATACATATATATATATGTGTGTGTGTGTGTATGTGTGCGTGTTTGTGTGTGTTTTGAATAAATATTAATATAAGCGCAGCGATTATGTGTATGTGTGCTTAGAGACACTTACATGCATACACACACACATGTCACCCTTTCTCTCTTTATATATATATATATATGCTTGTGTAAAAATTCAGATATAAATAAAATGTGTATGTAAAAATAATATAAATAAAAGAAAATACAAAAAAATAAAAATAAAAGTTTTCCACTTGTCTTATATGTATGTGTGTGTAGCTATATCTCTGTATGTATATATATTACGTATTTCTCTCTCTCTCTTTCTCTCTCTCTCTCTCTCTCTCTCTATATATATATATATATATATATATATATATATATATATATATATGGGCGGGTGAATATGATAGACTACCATAAACCGTCCTCAGCCATTTTTTTAATCATTTCACCCAAAGCAATGGAATAAAGCCACGAAGAGGTAAGAGGTTACTGAGTTTGAAAGAATAAATGGAAAAATATTAATGTAGGAGAACAACAAAAGAACAGGAATTAAGAAGTCAAAAGACAACGATTGACATTCAAATTTGTGATGCTCCAAGTTTAGTGGAAAGCAAAGGGCCGGAAGAGAGTTCTACAAGCAAGAAGCGTGATAGAAGAAACTGTTAGCATAAAACTTACGGTTACATTTAGCCATTTCATCTGTAAAATGATGAGACCTATCCGACAATCTAGTACTGCGCCTAAATTTATAAAGTCGATGTACCAGAGAGATAAGCTCGTCAGAACGATTAGTACGAAAATATTTATAGAAAAGGCATTGTGAAGTTATATTACGTCGGTGAGAAAATGCCTGAAATCGAGGTGCCAAGCCAAAAGCGATAACATTGCAGATTCTTCTTTTGATTTTATCAAGAATCTCTAAATACATAGCAGAAGCAAAAGGCCAGATGTGACAGCAATATACAATACACAGACAAATGGTAGACTTATAAATATTTAAGATAGATTTCGTCAATAAAAATTATCTGTTTCTACGCAGTGAAACAACTTTCATAGCAGCAGACCTTACAATTCATTCCATTTCATGTCAGCAGAATAATTAGCCCAAGAAGCTGCAATGATTTAAACCCCTGGAGGTTAGCATCAGCCAAGCTCATGGAAGGCAGAAAAGGTTTCCTATGATGGTTAAATGATACCAGATTTGATTTGGAGACGTTAAACTTTACAAGCCATTACTTGTCCCAGTTAACTACTGATTAGAGCTAATTTTCGAAAGCAGGTGTCAGTTTTATTTTGTAGACCTAATCGGACTTTACTTCGAAGACAGAATGAAATCCATTTGGGTTTTATTTTACGCTACTAATTGCTCTTGGCCCACGCAAATATTGACAGTGACAAATTTTTTCATTCACAACAAAGATTTGTAAAATAGCCCATCCTTAGTTATACATTTAGTTTGTTTAAATTTTATATATAACGTTATGCAGAGCAAATTTAATTAAGCTATCTCTTGCTCCAACAAATTCTGGGCAATTCTTTTTTTGATCAACGGCGGCCAATTTAACTTTATCGAATCAATCAGAAGGTTCCATTAAAACAAGAGTAAATAGTCGTTTTATTATTTTCATATCGAGTTGAGAACTGATGACATCGGGAAAGTCGTTGATGAAAATTAAGAATAATGTAGATCCAAGTATAGAATCCGGGGGAAGGGGACGTGCATTAATGAAAAAAAAAACTAGAAAAGTGGTCATTCAAGACAAATTTTCACTTCGCGATTTGATAGGAAACATTGAATCAGATCAAAAATTCGTCCAGAAATGCCATAACCTTTTAATTTGTGAAGAATATCAGCATGCCATACCACGTGAAACGTCTTCGAGCCAAACGAACAGCTCGAGTTTCACTATTCTTATCTTACGCTTGATAAACACTTTCAGCATTGATCATTAACACATCAGCAGTTGTTCTAGAGAAGAGATATTCCTTATCCGAAAGAAGACCCTGCGAGGTGAAATACTTAACTAGTTTGGAGTTGATTAAAGCCTCTAGTACTTGTAAAGAAGACGTTAAATGAATCAAACGGTTCTTCTGAAGTTATTTGTATCGACATTTTTTAATGTTCTGCTGTGGCTATTTAAATATTTGAAAATCCATTAGGGCGTAAATTTTCCTATTTTTCAAACTAAATAAAAAGCCCATTATTTAAATACAAGCTTATTTTTTGTTTATTTCTATTTTTTGAAGGAGAAATTTTTTTCTATTTCATGTTTCATGTTTGTAGATTTATTCATTGTGCGGTTTTAAAATACCAATTTCTAAACTTGTTAAAACTTTTAATTTTAATGTCAAGAATGAAACGCAATAAAATGCCACACATATATTGTCTCGGGCTCTTTTGCCCCGAATATTGTCAAAATATTTACACCATAACGGACAATTTGTTTGAAACGACTGAAACTATTATTTAACAAGACATAACTCTTCACAACCTAAAAAGAAATTTAATCAGCCTTACTTAAATTTCGTGAGATATGATGAACCAGCCTAGAAAACAAAAAAACAAAAACAAAACAAATTCACATCTCAAAACAATATCGGTTTTTGACTATGCATTTTCTGTGAAGCAAAATATGTATCCTTCCTTTCGGCACTTGTAAATTGCTATGAGGGAAAAGCGAATTTATAAAAAATCATTTTTTCTCGTTTCGGGGAAAATTCTTTTTGTATTAATCTTTTTTTCACTACTTATTCTTATTTATTTATTTTTTTATTTACATTTGAGACTTTTTTTTTCTTTTTTCTATTGCGATACAAATTGCTGTGAGTCTGATGAAGTCTGAAGCGGGTAATTCAGAAACACTTCCTTTTTTTTAATACAAGAATAAAATCCCAAGGCATATATTATTTTTATTTCATATTTTCGAAATATTTTAGAAAAGTTTGGATTTGATTTTCACCGCTTTCATTGTTTAACATAAAACATTTCTCTTTAAGAATAAGGCTTATGCCATAGAACAGGTTTTGGTTGCACTTTGGTAATAAATAAATAAACAGAAACTGAACCAAAGCCGTTAAAAATGGGATTTGGCATTGTTTTCGTTTTTTAACTTACACATTCTCTTACATAAAAAAAATTGGCGTCTTCCGTTGAGAATTAATGATTCTATTTATCTGGCAGACTATTTCTTAAACGATGCCATAAAAGTGTCCCACTATTTCAGATTAAGTAAATATCTACTTAAGTTACCAGTATTTTTGTGTAGTGAGTTTGAGTTTTATTATGTGCTTCACTATTGTGATACCTTTACCAAAGTGAAGCTTCACTTACATGTAAATTCGTTTATTGCGAATTGAGAAGAAGAAGAAGAAAAAGAAAGATAACAACCACCACCACCACCACCACCAACAACAACAACAACAACAACACCAACAACAACAACAACATCAAAACCACCACCGTATCTATCTATATTTC